CACCAGGTGTGGATGGTATTCTTTGATTCTCATTCGGTAGGAAATTTTTTCAATTTTTTGCGAACAAAAATACCCTATCTTATTAGCTCTAGCCATAGAATAATGGTTTACAAAATCAATAGTTGCTTCACGCAGCTTCCTCTGCTTCACACTGCTTTCCAAATACCATCTGCTTCATGCCGCTTCTTGCCAACGTTCGCTTCCCTCTGATGAGTTATCGTGGCTACGATAAATTGGAGCTCCAATCCAATTCCTAATGTCCATTACGAGAGTGACTCCAGCCTTACTTTAGTTTTCGTCTATTATGAATAATTTTTACTCAAAAAAGTTAGTTTTATAAAATCGGTCAACATTTCTGAAAATATTTTAGTCTGTTAAACAATTTTTTAGTAATATTCATGAGAAATTCAATTTTTCAGCATATTCTTAGAAATTATGATTCTTTGTAAAAAAAAAAATTTTTATCCTCTACAGTGCTCCTTAAGGGGAAAGAGGAGGAATGGTAATTTGTTATGAATGAAAATCAAGAGTCCTTTTCATTTTTTGTTTTTAATGATGGTTGGTTATGAATCTTCTTTTAATAAATGTCAAAATTTGTTAAATAATTACTAGGCGGTAAACACACTAATTCTTGATTTTGCAATATCTTCTTTATCTTATTCAGGGAAGGTTATATTTATAATTTTTTTTATAAATTCTTACAAACTACACTATGTACTATAGATAATATAGGAAAAAATATTTATCCTTTTAAATGACATAATTTATATCCTTTCACTCTCACAAAGAGGTAGGATCCACACTTTTTTTTTGTCAACTCTCTCTCGCTCTTTATCTATCTCTTTCTCTCTCTTAATGACATAACTTTACCTTCTTTAAAATGTCACACATTTTTCCCAGGTAATGTATTATGTGCTGAAATATATACTACCCTTATTACATAGTATAGTTTGTAAACAAAAAATTTGTAAATATAACTTTCCCATGTTAATACTGTAAAAATTACAAATTCGAGTCATATTATAATATGGAACTTATTAATTATTGAAAAAGACTAATATAATGGTCATTTACAATTCTTAGAGATCGGTAAGAGTTTTTGTAGAATCAGAAACTAATGTATTTATCCTAAATTTCTTCGAGACGAATTTAAAAATTTATTCTTTCTTCATTTGCACCAAAAAAAAAAATTGTAAATTAGAAAACCCAACTGGAAGCGTGGTCCACTTCTCCATAACAAAGCACCGACCTAATTTGATTGACACAAACACAATGTTTCGGAAAAATCCAGCTTCCAGCGCTACCTGTGAGGGCAACAGCACGTTACAGCAAGAACATGATTTTTTTGAATAGCTAATTTTAGAATAATTTCTACCGAAAAATATTTCTGCAATTAAATAAGTTATCTGCATTTACTTCTAAAACGATATCATTTTGGGATTGAAAGATTAAAAAATTATTATTATAAAAATTATAATAACCTTGAAATAAATTAAAATTACAAAAACACCATGATTTCCGCCCCAAAACGATGTCGTATTGAGCTTACTGCAGATAACTGATCTTAGTTATCTGCAGTAACTGCAGAAAAAATGAACCCTAATTTCTAAGGAAAAATATTTTTTTATATTGTATGATAATTCAATTCTCATGTTGTGATCCATCGATTTGCGTACAAAGCTTTTTTTTAAATAAATGTGGGACCCACCACTAATTGAGTCACAACATGATGAGAATTCAATTCTCATTCAAAATGAGAAAATCAAACCCCAATTTCTAAACATCAAATCGTGACTTTGATCCGATACACATGCATGCAACTCTTTTTCATATGGAAATGGATCCTCTAATGCGAGAAAAAATATTATACGGTCATATGAGAAGATCACAACCATACAAAGTTAAATCAATGGTTATGATTTTGTAACTACCTATTTTACTATTTTTTCTCTCTCCTCTTTTATTATCATTGATCCACTTTTGTATGGTTATGATTTCTCACTTTACCATGTCATGTGATTTTTCACGTCAGAGGATCCAGATCCTTTTCATATATATGGAGCTATTCTAGCATACAGCACGCCGCTAATTCATATTATATATTCAACTGACACAGTGCTATACAACTGACGCATAACTAACTTGAACTGAATTGGTTGCAGCTGTGCAACTAATTCTCAACTAACTCACTCCTTTACAGAGTTCCTCAAGCTCATGGTGTTATAATCTTCCACTGTATATGTGTTTACTAGAAGCTGCCTTGGTCTTTAGATATTTTATTTACTTGCTTCTAAATATTATTTTTCTCTAACAAAATATTAATTTGTCATAGTATATGATTAGATTTATTGAGATTTTAAATGATTATTTCCTTTTGTAATTTGATTATCTTAATTGTGAGGTCAAACTTAATTGCGAAGATGATTGAGTATGATTGTATACGTAAATGTGAGTGATTCTATAGACAACATTATAACATATAAAAAATCCATTGAACTACAATGGGTGTGCATGTGATAAGATAAAGTAAACTAATAAATGAGATAGACATCTCTAGGTACTTGGTTCTTCTGAATTGCTACATTGTCAGTCTAATGTCTTATTTAACATCACAATTTTTTTCTTCATTCTATCTAAAAAAATAAAAATAAAATCTTCACTGGATTCTTTAATAAGATTTAGTCCTAAGTATATCAGGATATGGGTAAATTAATATTTTCCGCGTTACTGAATTTTTGGAGTGGTTGTCTTTTATGTACGTGGGTTTATAGTCATTGTCCACTTTTGGTAGGTTATGATATCCTCTTTACTTTATATTCTTCTCACAGTGACTTTATTTTTAATGACTTGGATGAGTCTATTATCTGTGCGAGGAATATATAAGAATAAAGTTAATTCACAAAAAGAATAAAGTGTGATATATATATATATATATTTGCAGTCTCTTAATATATAAGATACCTATTTGTTCAAGTCTAACCTTTTTTTTTTCTTTTAGTGATAAGCTTTTTCTGCTTTTGATTAGATACCTTTTGGGTTATAGAAAACTCACCTTTAACATGATTCATATTCTATAAATAAGAAAAGAAAGAAATCCATAAAGGGGGAGAGGTGTTTGGGAGGTTAGCACTTATCAAAAGACAAATCTTTTGGAAGAACCACTTTTACAAACATTGTCAGATCCATAAATTAGGATTTCAAAAAAGATAGTAAAAAATATATTTAGAAAAAGTGTGAAAGTTAAGTGCTTTTTAATTAGCTCAATTATTACTTAAACTTTCTGTAAAGTTATTTTAGAAAGAATCAGAAATTTTATGGAGGGCTATACATGAGCGAAAGGACATCTTCTTATTCCAGGAAATTTGTGATTACTATGGATCGACAGAGGGGAGGGTAAATAACTGGCTGCCATGGTCCCAACTCGCGACGCATCTATTCCATCTTAATTCTAGCTCTTTTTATATTCCTCCTTTTCCATGCACTATTATTTTATTTTATTTTTATTTTTATTCTCATTCATTAAAAGTTTGAGTAGCTTACTAATTAAAGAAGAGTAATTATTTAAGAGAAAAATATTTTTCCAGTTAATGCAGATAAGTTATCTGCATTTATTCTCAAAACGACGTCGTTTTAGTATTGAAATCTTAAAAAATTATAAATATAAAGATATTTATAACCTTAAAATAAATTAAAATTACAAAAATATCATGATTTCTGTCCAAAACAACGTCGTATTGGACTTCCTGCAGATAACTTATCTGCAATAACTGCAGAAAAAATGAACCCATTATTTAAATATTGAATTTTAAGAACATTAACCATGTTTTATTGAATTATTTTTAATTATTTTAAAACCGATATTAAGTTTTTATTTTTTTTTGGTGTGGAAGTTTTTTCTTTATAAGAAGGGGTCAAAGACCCATTTATAATAAGAATTTAATGTGTTGAGTTGAGACATACTATTTCTTCATATAATTAATTATTATCCTAAAAATTATCATAGTAGGGACTTATGACAATTAACGTATATATATATTCTTCTTGAAATTAGTAAGCGGTTGACTTCAATTTTCGTGTCAACTGTTTTATTATAGCTGTCTCAACTTATGTTGAATCAAATTAAATAATTTATGTAAGTATGTTATGTACACACGACGTCCATTTTCTACATCCTATATCACAATTTTTGTAATAAAATACAGAAGCATATTTTTAACACATTTTTTTAAATAATTTACCAAAAAATAACAATTTAAGTATAATATAAAAGAGTAAAAAAAAATTGTGTGCAAAAATCATTTTCTTAAGAACAAAAAGATAGCGAATTTCTATCCACCAAAAAAAAAGATAGCGAATTTCAACTCACAAGGTTAAATTAAGAACAGTAGAATAGGGAGAATTTGTGGTAACCGTTAACATATATAGCAGAAAGGAGAAAGAATAAATCACATTAGAATTTGGACGACAAGGATGTGGTTGGAGAGTTAGCTTATTAGTTAAGAAACTCTTGCACTTCCCCTTTTCACCAACAAAGTTTAAACGTATAGCAACTTTCTTCATACTTAGGCTATCTATTATATATATATTATTAGAGTAAAAAATATATTCGAATAATTTAAAAATTAAATTGTAAGAGTCACTGGTTATCTAAATGAACATTACATTAATCTTCATACAGTTGAAAATAATAATTTAGTTACAATTATATGAATCATTGAGAGAGAAAAAACACCCCGCAACAAAGAACAGTGATGTTGATAGAGAGGAATGGACAAGAGGGAGGAAAAAGGAATCCATTCATTTCGAGTGGGCAATGTTGGAAATAGCAGCCAGCTAGTTCCTGCGATGTTGACTTCACACCAAACCTAATGCATTTAACAACATAAACAAAAACAAAATAAAAAACACTAACATAACATGTACACACCACACTTGCAAAACTCATTCACTCACTCACTCTTTAAAGCACCGCTATTTTATAAAGCATGCCTTCCCTCGTTTAATAGAAACCAGTAACTAGTAACTACCCTCTCTCTCTCTCTCTCTCATCTTACTTCACTAACACACACTCATTCACACCGACCCTCACCTCATAAACACAATGGACTTTGGAAGGGTGGGACCCTCCGAACCAGGTGGCTCATCACGGCGCTCCACCGCTCCTCTCACAGGACCAATCTCCTCCTCTTCCTCAAAAAGTAAAAAGAAGCTCATCATGCTCTCCATCCTCGCCGCCGTCTTAATTGTCGCCTCCGCAATCTCCGCCGCGCTCGTCACCGTAATCCGCTCCCGCGCTTCAGCTAAAAATCAAAACCCACCGAATCTCATTGGCAAACCAACGCAGGCAATTTCCCGAACCTGCAGCAAGACACTGTTCCCTACACTCTGCATCAACTCTCTCCTCGATTTCCCAGGCTCCACCACAGCTTCGGAGCAGGACCTCATTCACATCTCCTTTAACATGACCCTGAGCCACGTCAGCACAGCATTATACGACTCCACCGGCATCTCCTACGCCGCCACGGATCCGCTGCTGCGCACCGCCTACGATGACTGCCTCGAGCTCCTCGAGGAGTCCATGGACGCGCTCTCAAGATCCCTCACCTCCGTCGTGCAGCCTTCAGCCGCCGCCGCCGCTGGATCCAACGACGACGTGCTGACGTGGCTCAGCACCGCGCTCACTAATCAGGACACGTGTGCGGAGGGCTTGGAAGACTCAAGCGGGAGCGTTAAGGATCAGATGGTTAATAATTTGAAGGACTTGTCGGAACTCGTGAGTAACTCTCTCGCGATATTCTCGGCTAGCGACAATGGTGACTTCTCAGGGGTCCCCATACAGAACAGGAGACGATTAATGAGAATGGAAGAGGACGAGGGAGAGAATTTTAATGGATATATATCGGGGAAATTTCCGAGATGGTTGAATAAACGAGATAGGAGATTGTTGAGTTTACCCATATCGGCATTACAAGCCGATATAATAGTGTCCAAGAATGGGAACGGAACAGTGAAGACAATCTCAGAGGCAATTAAGAAGGCACCAGAGCATAGTAATCGCCGGCTCATAATCTACGTGAGGGCAGGAAGGTAAATACATAATTTTTTTGAATATTTTGTTTTACTAAATTAAATAAAATATATACACCTTTATCTGTAAAAAGTGTACTTTTTTTCTTTTCCGAGATAACGAACATCTTACTTTTTAATTATTTTCTTGGTATTTTTTTTAACTGACCGCATAATTGAAATGATGATGATATGATTTGTACTAAGAGAAAGGAGACAGGGTCAGTGATGATTTATTAATGTTTCAAAAAGGTTTTTCTACTATAATTTATGACAATGTTTACGCCTTCATCTCCGTTAATTTATTTTACGTCATTTCTGGTCAATAGAGGTGGAAAAAAAAATGATATATATTTTTTTTTTGTAAAAAAAGTTTCTTTAATGCGATTTTTTCACCAGTTATATGAAAAATTTAATCATGTTTTATAATGACGTATGATTGCGTTAGAAAAAAGCTATCACATGCACACCGACTTTTGAATATGATGGAATTTTCAGGTATGAAGAGAATAATTTAAAGGTAGGGAGAAAGAAAACCAATCTCATGTTCATAGGGGACGGGAAGGGCAAAACTGTCATCACAGGGAGAAAAAATGTTAAGGATGGCATGACCACATTCCATACCGCATCCTTCGGTAAGTTGCTTTTCATCTGCTTGCTTATTGGTTGTGTGTGCCTTTGTCTAATTACAACAATTTTGACTTTTTTTCTTTTTAATAATTTAACATTTTGTTGAAAGTAGTAGTAAAAAAAACACATGATTTCAAAACCATGCATGATAGTAGAACAGCGCAAGTTGCACGTGGCCTGCGATTCCAGGTTGTAATATTTTTAACATTCCTATCTGTCTCACTGTCTGGTTGAATGTCAATTGTAAGTCGAAGTCAATGTCCACTTGGACAAGATTAACCCCATTTTTTCTGTATTTACGACGAAAGAACAATACACGACTCCCTATTTTTTAGAAACAAAGAATAGCATATGGATCGTCATACGGATGTCTTTAGTGTATGCATTTATTGTGGCCGGATAGTGCGTTTTGCACACGTAAGTCAAGTCTTTATAAGCTTCACGCTCTCGAAATTACAACTATAAAATATACTTGGTGAATTTCTCCCAAGAAAAATAAAAAAGGAGAGAAACAGCTTGGTCAAGTTTTTTTTTTATTAAGTTAAGGATTCAGTGTGTGTCTTTTTTAAAGAATATTAGTTGTGTCCTTTTAATTTTTTTACTCTACGTACTCCTGGTAATACATAGTTATAATATGAATTATTTTTTTTTTTCACTTTTTACGTTAGCTGATGTGGTGGAGGAGAAATTTTTTTTTCTTCATATTATAACTATATATTATCAAGAGTACATAAAGTAAAAAAAAAAATTAAAAATACACAACTTATATATTTTTAAACTCAAATAATCTTCCCTAGGGAAGATAACTAGAGTTCAAGCCATATAACTTTTTTTTTAGATACAAGCCGTATACTTATAAATTAATAACCTCATTGCACGAATTAACTTCTGAGCTAGCTATTTTATTATATTTTGAAGTGATCAGAGAAATAGTAGTCGGTTGTTGGACTGGAGTTTAAAGTAACCAGGCTCAGCATTCAAAATAGTATTTATTATGTTAAACTTTAGTTAAAGCGTGCCATTGCAATAATCTTACGCATTCTTTGCCTTCATTAAAACAAATGATCATCCACATATTGACTTTTATAATCTTCATACCATATTCATAATTAATAACATATGAGAGTGGTTCCTTCACGTGTTAATTAACATACCATGTCATGTGGGGCAATCATATCCATACATGAATGAGTTAATGGTGATAAGGGAGGAGAGAGAAAAAATATAAAGATAGAAAGTTACACAATCATCACCGTTGATTTAATTATTAATGGTTAAGATCTTCTCACATGACATGATCATGTTAAATTACACATTAGAGGATCTATTTCCATATATTCACCATATTTCAAACTGTAATTAAATACACAAAAACATTAATGAATAGCTCCAAATTAAATTAGCAAACTAAACTTATAGGTTGTGGCTCAATCGTGCATTGCAAGGAAAAATTACCAACATCCCAACAATACCATATTCTTCATGTCCCCAGAATTAATATAATTTTCGTAGCTTAATTTATTGATTTATTCCATTAGTTCATACTTATAATTATTCAACTATATATTCCTATTCCTACAGCTGCTAGTGGTGCTGGTTTCATTGCACGAGACATAACGTTCGAGAACTACGCCGGACCAGAGAAGCACCAAGCGGTGGCACTCCGTGTCGGAGCTGACCACGCGGTGGTGTACAGATGCGACGTCGTTGGGTACCAAGACTCATGCTATGTGCACTCCAACCGTCAATTCTTCCGTGAATGTGACATTTACGGCACCGTTGACTTCATATTCGGTAACGCTGCCGTGGTTTTCCAAAAGTGCAACCTTTATTCTCGGAAGCCCATGGCCCAACAGAAGAACACCATCACGGCCCAAAATAGGAAAGACCCGAATCAAAATACGGGTATATCCATCCACAACTGTCGGATCCTACCCGCCCCGGATCTCACCGCCGTGAAAGACGGCATCTCCACCTATCTGGGCCGTCCATGGAAACAATACTCTAGAACCGTGTACATGTTATCATACATGAGTGATCACATTGATCCTAGTGGATGGCTAGAATGGAATGGAGACTTTGCTTTAGACACATTGTATTATGGCGAGTACATGAATTATGGGCCGGGTGCAGCCATCGGGCAACGGGTTAAATGGCCCGGGTACCGGGTCATTACTTCTACGGTGGAGGCAAACAGATTCACGGTGGCCCAATTCATATCCGGGTCGGCGTGGATACCGTCCACCGGAGTGGCGTTCTTGGCTGGACTATCCACCTGAATTCCATTGCAGTCATTGTTACAGCGTTAAAACCTTACCCAATTGGGGAATAGGCTTCTGTTTTTATTGTTCCTATTTTATTTTAATTGTGCCAAAAATGTAGTTTTGGGGCCTAATTTTCCCCCCCAACGATGCTAATAAAAAATATATATAAGTTATAGTTGACGTTATATATTTTTTCTCTTCCTGCCTCAAAATCAAAGGTGTTATTGTTGAAGTTAGTATATATATATATTTTTAATTTGTTTTGGTTGGTAGTATTATGGAATATATCCATATCTTAATCGCCTATTTCGTATATTCCTTAATGGATAATGACACAGTTATCTTAAAAGCATGAGATGATAAAGATAAGGAAATAAAACCCTTATTCCTACAAATAAGAAGTTAAATCCTACATCAATGGGAGATCTACACAACCCAAGAGGTAACCCCTAGGGTGTGTTTGGTACAAGAGAATTTTTTTTGTTTCCAGGAATCATAATTACTGGGAATTCATGTAGGAATTGAGTTTACCTGGAATGTTGTGAAAAAGTTGTTTGGTTCGCCAAAATAATACCGAGAATATTGAATAAGGATTACTAATTCTATGTTTGGTTTAAAATAAAATATTATTGAGACTAGGATGTTATTTTACAAAAATAACCCTTACATAATGTGACTTGTACAGCAACAGCAAAGTTCGAATTGATGTTGAAAGGGTCAAACCATACTATCTCTCCCTCATTGAAAAGGCAGCCCCGCTCTGAAACTTTTATTTCATTTTATTCCAATTGAAGCTTACCTACAAGCCTTCAAATGAGCGCAACTTTGAAATATCTAGATTTTGCAGACACCAAAACTTAAGTTTCCATGGGTGCTCAAAAAAAAAATCGAAATATGACTCAGCTCGCCAAGGAAGACACCGGGAATATTGGAGAACCACACAACCCATTCGCATTTGTTATGGACCAGAGAAAGGCCCACAGCAATATGAAGCCCAACCAACGTCAGCCCAGAGGTAAGTTCTATAAATAGGACTAAAGACCACATGCATGACTGATCTCTCTAACCCTATTTGATTGAAGACACGACAGTGCACACACACACCCCTTCTGGCTAAAGCCATCATATAGTGTGTAGTGATCAGTTGTCCCCAAGATACCTAATTCATAGGTATCTAGAGAAAAAGCTCTAGATCCAACATCAAAGACCCGACCTTCTGTCGGACATATCTGCTTCAGGCAGAACATTGGCGCCGTCTGTGGGGACGAACTCACGACCAAGTGATCAAGAGCCACAATGGTGCGAGCAACAAGAAGTGGATTTCGACAGCCGTCGAGATCGAATTCCAGAATCCAGCCTATTTCTCCACTCAGCGAGAATCCTCTGGATGGACGGCAGATAGATGCTGACGCCGTGCACGTGAGTGATGTGCATTCCGATTCGGCATCGACTCCAGCTGTTAACCAAGACGCTCCTTACGCGCAGGGTTTACAGCCAATGGAGGAACAAATAGCAGATACAGCACAGGCCCTGATTGGTGCAATTGCTGATTCGCGGGTAACAGATCTGGCAGTTGCCGCGGTGCTTCGGAGAATGCAGGAGATGGAGAGGAGACACGAGCTGGAAAGGGAGGAAGCGGCTAGACAAATGCGAGAGCTGGAGGCTCGAGTAGGTCGAGCTACCAACCCGAACCCGGAGCAGGTAATAACACGAGTTATGAATGACCTACAGATTGCAGGCACCCAGGCGAACCATAATGGGGCTCAGGTCCAGGGAAGAGGAGTTGGAAATGTCGGAAGTCGGCTTCAAAGAAGCACCACCAATGTTAACCCAAACCCGAACGATGTATCCGGGGTCTATAGGAGGAAGTATCATAGGGGGAATATAATGACAGCCCCTTTGCAGACGAAATTGTGAATGCACCATACCCAGAAAACCTAAATATTTCTGAAATTCCAAAGTATGACGGAACGCAAGACCCTCAGGTGCATTTGGATGCCTTTGATACGGCAATGTATATTAAGGGGATCGAAGAACCGCTGATAACCCGGTTATTTGCAACCACCCTGACAGGAGCAGCCCAGTGTGGTTCTCCTCCCTGCCAGCAGGATCTATCAGGTCGTTTGAAGAGTTCGGAGGCAGGTTTTTGCTAAACTTTGCTACAAGAAAAAAACAGCCAAAATATGAATTTGCGTTAGGAAAAATAAAGCAGCAGCCCGCGAAACCTTGCAGAAATATCTAGACTGTTTCAAGATGGCCGCGTTACAGGTTCCTGGGCTATCTGAAATTGTTCACCTTCATTTGGTGATTGCCGGCCTTCACGGATCATCCAAGTTGGCCAAGTCCGTCTACAAAGATCCTGTACGAACTCTAGTTGAGTTCACTACTCGTTCCAAAAAATACTTGGAGCTCGAACAGATGGAAGTTGAAAGCGCGGATCCAAGGTCGCACCAAAGCCAGGTAGAAAAACCTGGAAACCGAAGGCAAAATGATTCCGGGGTAAAAAACCCGAAGAGAAAATTTTATCTAAAATAAGATTTGACAGGTATACGCCTTTAAATTCCTCTCGATCCCAAATCTGGAGAGAAGTAGCATCCACCGAGATGAAAAGGGTGGACAGACCTCGGCCACTACAGAATCAAGCTGGGCTTGATCAATCACGGTATTGCGTGTTTCATGATGGCCCTGGTCACACAACCGAGGAGTGTTGGGATCTCCGAGATGCAATCGAAAGGTATATCAGGGAGGGAAAATTGCGTCAGTATCTCATCCGAACTCAAGGATGGAAGAACAATAAGAAGAGGAAAGGAGGACGGCCGATGAGCCCGAATCGAGAGAAGAAGTTCAAGGATGAATTTCGAGGTAAGAAACTGGTTAAAGAAGACGATAAATTTGTGGAGCCCGAGTTCGAGTGCAATGTTATTAGTGGAGGATTTGGTGGTGGAGGTGATACGATGAACGCCAGAAGAAAATACTTAAGAGAGGTGCTTTCGATTCGAGAGCGGCCTAAATTTAAGTTAGAAGAGCCGGAGACACCACGACTATTCTTTACAAAAGCAGAATTGGAAGATGTCATGCCAGGACACGTTGACGGGTTAGTCATCACTGGGGCACTAGTTAATTGTAAAGTCAAGAGAATGTTCGTGGATAACGGCAGTTGTGCCGATATAATTCTTTGGCAGGCATTCCAGAAAATGAACTTGGATGTGGAGGATCTGAAGCCCTGCAACACGGCTCTGATGGCTTTCAATGGCTGCGACACCATTCCCAAGGGGTATATTGATCTGAGACTCACCCTGGGAACAAAAGAGTCTTACAAGTCAGAGAGAGTAAGATTAATTGTCGCCGACTTCCCATCGGAGTATAACGTAATTTTGGGAAGACCAACAATTCACGGTGGGGATATGCTGGTCTCCACTAAGCATCAGAAGATTAAAATGATAGGTAAGCAGAATACAATTATCACCATTCAGGGGGATCAAAAAGAGTCACGGGACTGTTATTTTAAGTCAGTCAAAACAATAAGCAGCAAACACAAGGAATCAGCCGGATTGAGCACCAGTGGTAAACCGGAAACCTCCAAAAAGGTAGTTACTCCAGTAAACATGGTGGAGCTGGATATGAGGGATGAAACTCAGATTCCAAGACCGGAACCAAAAGGGGAATTGGAGGAAATAATTATAGGAGGAGAAACTCAAATTGCCAAGGTCGGAAAATGGTTGATTGTTGAGGACAAAGCTCGAATTACTGAATGCTTAAGAAGGAATGTAGATGTTTTCGCTTGGAAGTCCTCAGAGATACTTGGGGTGGACCCTCAGTTCTGCTGTCATAAGCTTGCAGTGTACCCAGGGTCTAAACCGGTAGACTAGAAGAAAAGGAAGCTCAGTACGAAGCGTCGTCAAGTGTTAGAAGATCATGTGAAGTAGTTATTGGAAGAAAGATTCATCAGAGAGATACAATATATAACCTGGCTGTCAAATGTGGTCATGGTGAAAAAGCCAAATGGGAAATGGAGGGTGTGTACAGATTATACTGACCTGAATAAGGTATGTCCCAAGGATGCATATCACATGCCCAACATTGATCAATTAGTGGATAACTCATCCGGGTTCCAGATGCTGTCCTTCATGGATGCATATTCGGGATACAATCAGATCCCGTTGCACCCAGAAGATCAGGAAAAGACCGCTTTCATTGGAGAAAAGGCAAATTATTGTTATAATGTGATGCCTTTTGGGTTGAAGAATTCAGGAGCCACATACCAAAGGATGATAAACCGGGTATATGCCGACCAGCTTGGCAAAAACGTGGAGGTATATATAGATGACATGATAGCCAAATCAATTGATTCGGCAACGCATGTCTAAGACCTGGATCAGACCTTCGAAAAATTGCGGCAGCACAACATTCGGCTAAACCCGACTAAATGTGCCTTTGGAGTCCTTGCAGGGAAGTGCCTAGGGTTCATGCTGACCCACCAAGGTATAGAAGCCAACCCGGACAAGTGCAGAGCCGTGTTAGAAATGAAGGCCCCGGGGAATAAAAAGGAAATCCAGCAGTTGACTGGGTGGTTAGCCTCACTCACAAGGTTTTTACCTCGGTCCGCAGAAACCGCGTTACCATTTTTTAAGCTGTTGCGAAAGGAGGTGCAATATGGCTGGACTTCAGAATGTGAAGTAGCATTCCAAGAAATCAAAAAACAACTGGCATCACCACCAGTCCTATCTAGTCCCAGAGAAGGAGAACCATTGATAATGTATCTTTCGGTGGGAGATATGGCTGTTAGCTCGGTTTTGGTCCAAGAAAGTGAGGAGGGGCAGCAACCAATCTACTTTGTAAGTCGGCTCTTACAAGGAGCAGAACTTCGCTATCAGAAGTTAGAAAAGGTGGTTTTCGCCCTTCTAATCTTGGCTCGAAGGCTTAGAGCATATTTTCAAGGGCACCATGTTATAGTTCGTTCGGACTTGCCAATACGGCAGATCTTACATAAACCTGACTTAGCAGGGAGAATGATGGCTTGGGCTGTGGAGCTGTCAGAGTTTGACATATCTTTTGAAAGCCGGAAAGCAATTAATTCTCAAGCATTGACAGACTTTTTCAGGGAGCTTACTTCAATCCAAGAGGAGAGCCCGGCAAAGCCGAGCACATGGAAAATTTATGTGGATGGGTCCTCAAACTCTAAAGGAAGTGGAGCCGGGGTAATTGTTGAGAACCCGGAAGGAATCTCGGTTGAGTACTCTCTGCAGATGAAATTTGAAACGTCCAACAACCAAGCAGAGTATAAAGCATTCATCGCCGGGTTGCAGCAGGCCAAAGAGCTTGGAGTGAAGAAGCTGAAAATCTTTAGTGACTTACAATTGGTCACGTCGCAAGTCGGAGGAAGCTACCAAGCTAAAGAACCATTGCTAGCAAAATACCTAGATTCCGCAAGACAGTTAATGGCGGAGTTTGAGGAGGTAGAAGTTCGCCACATCCCACGAAATGAAAATGGCAGGGCCGACATATTGTCGAAGCTAGCAAGTACCAAAGGATTGGGAAACCACAGGACGGTGGGGGAGCAGAATATCCTGGAACCCACATGTATCATGCAGATATCTGAGAGCAGAGATTGGCGCAGCACCATTATCAGTTACATAGAAAACAGAATGCTCCCATCCCAAAAGGAAGAAGCTCGGAAGTTGGTTAGGGATGCTGCGTTGTATGCAATGATGGAAGGACAATTGTATAGGAAAGGCATTTATTCCCCCTACTGAAATGCCTGAGCTCGGATAGGGCAAAATATGTCCTATCTGAAATCCATGAGGGGATAAATGGCTAGCACATTGGGGGCAAAGCGCTAGCTCGGAAGGCCCTCAGAGCAGGATATTTTTGGCCCTCTATGGTTCAAGATGCAAAGGAACATGTGCAGAAGTGTGATCAGTGCCAGAAGCACAGTAAAAACCTGCTGGCACCGCCAGAGGAGTTAAGCTTGATCACAGCTCCATGGCCCTTCTTCAAGTGGGGCATGGATCTTTTAGGCCCATTTGCTGCGACTGAAGGCAATTAAAATGGTTGATAGTAGCTGTTGATTACTTCACCAAATGGATAGAGGTAGACCCAGTGGCTACAATTACCACCACGAGGGTGCAGCGTTTTTTTGAAAGGAATTTGATCTGCAGATTTGGGATTCCAGCCGAGGTGGTCACTAACAACGGAACCCAG